CACACACACACACACACACACACACACACACACACACACACACACACACATATATATATATATATATATATATATATATATATATATATATATTAACACATACATTTATACTCATAATGTTATTATATGTGCGAGCACGTGTGCGCATATACACATATACGCAAGCACGCAACTACATATTATTATGCACAAGAACACATCCTGATCGTGTCCCAGTTTCCACTTTCTTGTCACTTTCTTGTGTTCTTCATTTTGCGTTGATATTGATCAGGGAAAATTGGGCTAGGCATCAGCGCTTGTTCACCTTACAGGCATATGCAAAAACATTTAAACACGCCCTGCTCAGTCTCCGGAGAGCCTTTACCAAAATTTGTTCATTGACACTAAAAAAGAACAATCATCCTCATCATCCAAACAATTTTTCTGTTTCCTGTTTTGTATTTCTTTTATCACTGAAGCAAGATACATAATATGTTACTATCTTGTTGACGCATTTTCTACTTAACTTACAAATATTTTTTATGCGACGTCAAACCAGGACACCGGACAAAAAAGCACCCCCCCCTCAGCCCCCCCCCCCTCAAACAAAACCCCCCAACAAGAACAAGAACACAAAACCCAAACAAAAATAAACAAAAACTCCAACAAAATTAAATAGCACTAACAATGAAATAATAACATAGTGAAAGCAAGCTCTCGAAATCAATAGGGTTAATATAGTGTATTTCACTGGATGAAGCATGTTAAATATTATAGGGTCCCAAAGTCATTACAATTTTTTTTTTATTAAAGTGTACATGTATACAAAGCAGAAAATAGAGCCCTACCCCCAACCTAATTTTCGTCTCGAAGTATTTTGTAGGGTAATAATAATACTTTGGAGTAATGACCATGAAGTAAAGTGCAAGTTTCAGTTTGGATAACTTAAACAACAGAACGGGAGTATTGGTATTACTGTTTTGTTTTAGTAAGTGTTTTACGGCACTTGCAATACAATAAGTCATTGGTGACGAAGGTTAGAGGTGTTACAAGTAAGAGAGTAACAATAAACACAAAATAAAAGGAGGGGAGATAAGGACGACAGATTATGTTTGATAGAAGAGAAGGAGCAAACCACATCAGGGCACCCGCCGACCACCCACAAATATTGTATTATTCTTATCTGAAACCAAGAGAGAGAGAAGCCCATAAGCTGTGCACATTAACAAGTGGAAGTGGAGCTTTTGGATGATCAAAATGTGGCAAACTTGTCATAGCGGGATTTGGTCTCATCGGCCTCACCAGAAGCTACAATTCATCTTAAACCTTTTTAATTCTTCAAATTCTTCTTTTTCGTTTGAGAACAATTCTCTTCAGGGGATGTACTGATCATCGTCAGACATTGACGGCCATTATTATTATTATTATTATTATTATTATTATTATTATTATTATTATTATTATTATTATCATTATCATCATCATTGTTATTATTATTATTATTATTATTATTATTATTATTATTATTATTATTATTATCATTATCATCATCATTATCATTGTTATTATTATTATTATTATTATTATTATTATTATTATTATTATTATTATTATTATTATTATTATTATTATTATTTTACCTGCTACATAGAAGACGTGGTTCCAATCATCAAAGGCAAGTTTTAGCGGAGTTGAGGAATTATTGAGCTCAAACACCTTTTCACCGCTCTCGTTGTACCTTGTTGGCAGGTAGACGGTGGAGAGTTGCGTCATTTCAACGGCATAATCAGCGACACAAGTGTGGGGTAAAGTTATCAGAGAACTACACCACACCACGCACACTGCTGGCAGAAATGTCAGGGGAAATGAAAATCCACGCAATGCAGTCTGTGATTTTGTCGACATGGTTAATATTTATTTTAGTTTCGCGACTCGGAAATAAAGATAAAACCTGCTTGGAAAAATAGATGAACACTGTGGATATTTTGTTTAACAGACACTTTTCCTTCTGAATCCCTCCAGCTTGACAAACCCAAGTCAAACCTTATGAGGAGAGGAGTGATTGGTGGTTTTTTTTTGTTGTTGTTGTATTATCTTAGCCAACAAACAGACAACAGCCTCACTTCGAGCTGAAGTTGGACTGCCAGTTGATCGAGGGTTTTAGGCCATTACTTTTAGACCCCATTTGAATACTTTTATTCGTTACTGGGAGTAGAGCAGAAACTAATGTTGCAGTTGTAGCTAACAACTCCCCAGACAAGAAAAGGTAGCCAAGCAGTGGGAAAT